TCATCTAAAATGTGTCTTATGCTTTTAAAAATACGCTATATGTTTTCAAGGCACAAAATCCCAAAGATATAAAACCTATGTTGTAAAAGCTTTTATCCCTCCCCGTTCCCCAGTCGCCTCAAATTGCCACCAAGAATCAGTTTCTGTTGGGTCCTTCCAGAAAAGATCAGATGTGAGTTAACACTTGTACCCTTTAAATCAAATAAATCAAAACAGAACAGAACCCCGAGGTGCACGGGGTGCACGGGAGATGGGGAGCAGTCATCTGAGCTGATTCCATCTTGGTTTCAAGGGAGTGGAATGAAGAGTGCCAAGGTCAGGTTATGGAGGAGGCAGAACCCGCACTCTGAACCACAGGCCTGTCAACAGGGCGAGTGCTGCTGCTACTCATGTGCTGGGTCAGGATAAAGCCACCACAACATCTAGCATCCTGGCCTAAGTCAATAGGACATGTCACATTCCTCAGCAAACAACCTGTTATCCAAGTCAGTTAATGACAGTTGGTTACCCTTCTTATTATCTGGACTCTCTTTTCCCACGGCGATGCTTTGAATCACTCTGAATTCACAGCAGGTGTTTGTAACAACTCCTAGGACACAGGGGACATCTCTCACATGCCGTTGGCACACAAAGATGCCCAGAGTCCTAGAATCGAAGTGTGTGCCCAAATGTCGTCTCTTCCTGTGGCCTAATCTGGGGTCCTGGTGGCCACCCCTTCTGCCCTCTGTCCACTTCACCTTCATCTGGAAGTGAACCTGGGTTTTTGTTTTGTGTTGTTTGTTGTTTGCCCAGGAAGAGACATCCTTTTGCGCAAGTGTCAGCAGGGCTTTTATCCAGACATCTCAACCATCTCCCAAGCCCTGATTTAAATTATACTCCTCGGAGAAGAATCCAGTCAACACCACTGTTGCTATTCCCATTTAGCAATAGGGAGGCTGAGATCTGCAGGGCACCTAGCGCTGTGTTTGCCAAAGTAGGATATTTTAACCTCGCTCTGTTGAATACACCGCCTACTTCACTCCACATCGGATGATGTGGGGGCAGGTGTGAGCGCGTGGGACAGCTAGCTCAGAGGATTTGGGCAGCTGAGTGGAGCTTATTTGTATGGTTTCTATAGGGAGGACCAATGCAGGGAACATGAAGCTAAGGAACAGCTCTATACCCTGGGCTGACTATGCTGCCCCTCACTTGCTTTCTTTGAAGAAGCAATTTACCTGCAGCCTTGCCCGGCCTCAGTCAATAGGATAGGTCCCATACCTTAGCAAACAACCTGCTATCTGCTGGAGAAATGCAGGCTTGAAATGCCAATAAAAACACAAGTTACCCTGAAGGGGGCACTTTTGTGACTTTTACACAGACCGGATTCCAAAATTCTGGGAAATAAGGATGATTTCCCCTAACCATAAAATCTGTTAGAATAAGTTCTAATTAGAACCCATCAGCAAGGGCCAAAGGGACCTAGAGTTGTCCTGCATCTTTACCATGTATAGTGGGGACTTGAAATCGGATGTCATCCTGTTGTCAGTCAAAAGTCAAAAAGTGGCCCTGGGTGGGACTCTCGGGAATCTTCCATGGGATCCCTAATAAAACTGGAGAGCAGGAAGGGTCCACTGTCCTTCTCTCTGAGAGGACCCGCTCCTTCCCTTGAGAGTGTCCCCTTTTCCCATCACCCACCCCCCCAGTCAGGGATTGAACCCAGGGGCCCATGATCAATCACTGAGCCGCACCCCCAGCCCTTTTTATTTTTTTATTTAGAGACAGAGTCTCATTAAGTTGCTTAGAGTTTTGCTGGGTTGTTGAGCCTGGCCTTGAACTCACGTTCCCATCCCCTCTATTAAACTGTGCCTACTGCTCTCAGTGACACATCTGAAATCTTTCCAGCATGATTGCAGGAACTGGTAAGAGAGGACCTCTGTGGCTGCCTCAGTGCTGGGGCAGACTTTTGACCCGCAAGTTTCCAGTGACTATTCACATTTTTACTAACTGACCTGTTATAGGATTGGCTTCAGGAAAACCTCCACTGAACGCATCGTGCTGACTCAACTTAATGTTGTGACACAAAGGTGCAGAGTCAGAGGTCGAATCTCAGTGCAGATGCATATGATCTCACAAGGCCCAGTCCCAGGCCTGAAATGTAAGCATGGAGCTGGAAGCTGGTGTGTGGAGAGTGTTCCATGGGTGTGTCAATCCCATGGAACAAATAAATATCATGTTATTTTCTAGTTATTTATGATGTTTTTGAAATTTGTCATTTGGGAGTTTCTTTTCTCTTTAACCAAATCTTCATTTGTTACTTAAATTCCTAGTTTTAATTTTGTGTTTCTTTTCTTAAAGAAGTCCACCTATCATGGATGATTATCCATATGTTCACAGGATATTTTGGTTATGTATTTGATAGCATTTATGCTGTACATACAGCTTTGAAACAGATTTTAAATGTAATACTTCCTTACCATTTCTCCATATCATTAAATGTCGTTTAACTGCATCATTTTTAACAGCTGCATAATATGCCTCATAGGAAAGTGGGAATAATTAAAGGTACTAACTCAGAGGGTTATATCATGAGCACTGACAAGAGTTAAGTCATGTAAAGCTACCGGGTATGTAAAAAACTCAATTAACTTAGCTCTTCCACAGGTCAGACTTACGTATATATAATCAATCCCCTTTTGATGGACACTGGGGTTGTTTCCATAATTTTGCTATGATGAATAACGCTGGGCAATATTAATTTTTGGTCATATCGTTTGTCGTTTCTCTGCAAATTTCGGGACAGCGGGATACACACATTTTAAAACTTGCTTATCATTGAGCAGTTAAGAAAATGGAGAGGGGAAGGGGCTTGCCCGAGGTCACTTAGCAAGCTAGTTGCTAAGTTGGGACTGGGAACTAGTCCCCGGCCCCTGACTGGACCTCTTCCAGCAGAGGAAGTCCCAGCTGGAAGAGGGGCAAGGAGAAGAAAGGGAAAGAACCCGGGGCTGTGGCAGAATCGGCGCGGCGGGAAGAGGCTGGAGCCAGATGGGCGGAGCCAGGCGGGCTGCCGGGTCGCGGCGCCGGCTTCACGCGGCCGAAGCTAAGCGGTTGCCCGGCAACCGGGACGGCGCGGCGTTCGAACGGAAGCGAGGAACCAATCAGGAAGTCCGGGGCGAACCATTCCGGCGCCGGCGGGGGGGGCGGGCACGCTCACTTCCCCTTCCTCCGCTCGGGAGGGGCCGTCGGGCAGCCGGGGCCACCTGCTCCGTCGGGGGCGGAGGGCTTCCCGGAGGAAGCCGCTGGGTCCCACGCGGCGCTGGGGCCTCCGCCTCCCGCCCGGTCCGAGCTGTCAGCCTCTCCAGTGCCCGCGTCGGAGGAGCCGGACACGCCTAGCGCGGGCTCCAGGTGAGCGCGCGGTGCCGCGGGTGCGAGCCTGGGTCCGAGGCCCTTCACCGAGCGCCTGCCGGGTGCGTGGTCCCCGCGCAGCCCCCGCGTCCTGAGTCACAGTGGGACGCCGAGGCTGAGGCAGAGCCCTAGGCCCTGAGGAGCCACCGGGAGTCCACGTCCTTCCGTGTCACCTCACAGCCACGTGTGGAGAGACCCCATGACAAGTGGTGGCCACTTTCTGAGCTCCTGAGGGCAGGGGCGCGGCTCCTGGAACCCCGGCTGGATCCTCGACGCCCCGGCCCCACCCCGTACCGTCCTTGGGATACCCCTTCTGACACTCGTTTTCCTTCCCCAGCGGCTGGACTCGGGGTTCGTTTGAGAACCCTTGTCCCTAGAGGGTCCCAACTCAGGGTTCATTTGAGACCCTTGTCCCTAGAGGGCCCCTCTTTGGGGATCAGACGAGGCTGACGTTTCTGGGCTAGATTCGCGGTGGGTGGGCAGCAGATTCCAAGGCTCTGCAAGTCGCTGCTGGCCTCTTGGGAGTCTGCCCCGGGTTGGTGGTAGGCGGTTTGGGGCAGTCTCTAAACCAAAGCCACTGGTCATCAGAGACTTTGGAGTTGGGATTGAGGCTTGGACCCTCCCAGGGTGGAGCATCTAATTTAGGTTTGACTCTGCTCAGCCTCCTGGGTATGCCCCTCCCCGCAGGTTGCTATTGTAGGTCTCCTTTTGTAGGTGGGGGTTGTCACAGACTTGGCCACGCAGGGGTTGGCTCTCAGTCTGTCTGGCTTTCATCTTTGAGGCTTTGACCCATAGACTTATAGGATTTGAATGTCTTGCATCTCTTCCGAAGGGAATTCTTATCCTCTCCTCTGTACACTCCCCCTGGCTTTGGGGAGAGGAACTTGGACACTCAGGAAGAAAACAAGCCACATTCATTCATTCTTTCAACAAATGCCTGTTGACTTCATATGACCTGGCCTCTTGGCACGCTTTGCTTTTCTCAGTAATATCTGCTCCACCTTATGCCCTATATACTTTGTCTATTAGCCACTGGAATGTGATGCAGGGCAGGGGCAGGATGAGGCAAGTTAGAAACTCACTACCAGCACAAAATCTAGGGAGCCCCAAACCTTAGTAATCAAGGTAACTTGATTAACTGGCATCTGCTGACCATTTGCTGTGCGTTCTGCTGGTGGGAGGTCAAGTCAGCCTCCGTGGAGCGCAGCCCTTCCCCCATCTCTGTCACAGTTATAAGTTCATCCCCTGATTCAGCTGTCCCACTTCTAGACAATGCTATAGGTGCAGTGATGCTGCACCTGCAGTTGGTTTGTAACAGATGCATAGGACAGATGGATGCTAAGCTGCATGGCACAGGGGCTGATGGGAAATAATTGGACGCTGTTTATGTACTGATGTAGCATCAAGAACTGAGTCAAAGAGCAAGTGAAAACAATATGCACAGCGTGATACTGTATGTCTAGAAGAAGAGAAAGAATGTATGTCCCTACTCGCTTGCATGTGCCTCAGGTTTCTCTGGAAGGGTACACAACTGTCTGTCCCAGTGGTGCCTGTGAGGAGGAGGGCTGGGGACAGAGGTGGGAGGGAATTGATTGTTTGGCTTTTTTAAACTTTATTCCATCGCTTCTCGGCCTTTTGGCTAAGATCAAGTGTAGTATCTGTTCTTAAACTTTATTCCCTTTAAAGTTTTTGAGTTTTGAAACATGTGCATTGAAAAAAATCATTAAATATTTATATTTAGTGATTAAGTATAAATAAAATTATGAGATCACTGCCCTGTCTGTGATCTGTCACTGACTTGCTATGTGACTTTGGCAAGTTTCTTCACATCTCTGGGTTGAGATAAAACACCATGATGATGAGGTCAGGCCTAGGCAGAGGGCACTCTAGGACAGGAAGTGGGCTTGGCTCTGGCTCTGTCTCACCCCCGCCTTTCCTCCTGTGTGCCAGGTCCCTCCCCAAGGTCTAGCCTGTGATTTCTCCCTCATTCAGACCCCGGTCAAGGCCCCTTTCCCCATTTTGCAACCTCAGGTGCAAACTGAGGCCCAGAATATTGAGTTGTGGAGGTGGGCACATGGGTGGCCCAGGCAGGAGCTCAGTGCCCGAGCTTCCACACCCACACCCCTCCCACAGCCGCTCATCTCTCCCTTCCTGAGGTTTGTGCAGGGTTGCTCTGGGCATGGCTGACTGCTGGGCAGGCCAGGACAGGAGCCTCAGGAAGACTCCAGAAATAGCTTGGGACCTGGCATGGCCCTGGAGGATGCCCAGCGGGTGTCTCTGACCTGGACAGCTGGGCTGAAATGGAGCTGGGCTGCCCTACTGGCTGGCCCCTGTCCATTGCCTGGAGCCTTCCTGATCCTCCTCTGGGACAGGCAAGGGCCTCCCTGTCTCTACCAAGTCTGGGCCAGAAGGAGAGAAGCAGGTGGAGGGAACGGGGAGGGGAGGGTGTAGAGTGTCATAAAAATGACAAACATCAGAAGCCACACCTCCCAGCCTTGAAAGAAGGGCGAAAATCACTAATACCTCCTGAGCACTTACTGTGTACTCGGGACTCTACAAGTATGAACGCATTTCATTCCCTCGTCTCCTTGTGGAGCTGCTGCTGATACCATTTCTGTCTTGCAGAGGGACAGTGTGAGAGGGGTTTAAAACTTGCAGAAGGTCACCTAGAAGTGGAATTCGAATCTAGGAAGCCTGTGGAGTTCCAGATTGCACTCTCTTGCTCTCCCCTTTGCTTGTATATAAAATTGACCACCTTAACTGCTTTTTAAGTGTGCAGTTCAGTGACATTAGGTACATTCACATTTTGTTGAAAGTATCAACACCTTCCACCACCAGAACTTTTCCCAAACTGAAACTCCATGCCCAATAAACACTGACTTCCCATTTCCTACATTTAAAAAAAAATATATTTTTTTTAATAATAGATGGACATAATACCTTTATTTTATTTTTATGTGGTGCTAAGGATTGAACCCAATGCCTTATGTGCGAGTGCTCTACCACTGAGCCCCAGCCCCAGCCCTGATTTCCTCCATTTTTAAGAATGAAAAATATTTTATATATATATATATATCTCACCACGTTTTGCTTATCCATTCCTTCATTCATTGATGGACACTTGGGTCTCTTCCACCTTTTTTTTTGTGGGGGTACTGGGGATTGAACTCAGGGGCACTCAACCACTAAGCCACATCCCCAGCCTTATTTTCCTAGTTTTAAAAAATTATTAATTAATTAGTTAAAATTAGTATGTATGCAGCAGAATGCATTTTGATTCATTGTACACAATTGCAGCACAACTTTTCATTTCTGTGGTTGTACACGATGTAGCATCATACCATATGTGCAGTCATACATGTACTTAGGGTAATGATGTCCATCTCATTCCACCATCTTTCCTGCCTGAATATTCCCTTTTCACCCCTCCCTCACCTTTGCCCAATCAAAGTTTCTCCACACGCCCTCCCCCCATTATGGATCAACATTCACTTATCAGGGAGAACATTCAGCCTTTGTTTTTTGGGGATTGGCTTACTTCGCTTAGCATGGTATTTTCCAACTCCACCCATTCACCTGCAAATGCCATTTTTATTCCCTTTTAATGCAGAGTAATATTCCATTGTGGGTATATATACTGCAGTTTCTTTATCCATTCATCTACTAAAGGGCATCGAGGTTGGTTCCACAGTTTAGCTATTGAGCTGCTATGAACATTGATGTGGCTGCATCACTATTGTGTGCTGACTTTAAGTCCTTTGGTATAGATTGAGGAGTGGGATAGCTGGGTCAAATGGTGGTTCCATTCCAAGTTTTCCAAGGAATCTCCACACTGCTTTCCAAAGTTGTTGCACCAATTTGCAGTCCCACCAGCAGTGTGTGAGTGTGCCTTTTCCCCACATCCTCACCAACACTTACTGTTGTCTGTACTCTTGATGGCTGCCATTATGAATTACTAGAGATGTTGAACATTTTCTCATATATTTGTTGATTGAATGTATATCTTTTTCTGAGAATTGTCTGTTCAGCTCCTTAGCCCATTAATTGATTGGGTGGGGTTTTTGTTTGTTTGTTTTGGTGTTAAGTTTTTTCGTTCTTTATATATCCTGGAGATTGGTGCTCTATCTGACATGCATATGGCAAAAATTTGGTCCCAAAATGTAGGCTGTCTCTTCACCTCGTTGATTGTTTCTTTTGTGGAGAAGAAACTTTTTAGTTTGAGTCCATCCCCCAGCCCTATTTTGTATTTTATTTAGAGACAGGGTCTCACTGAGCTGCTTAGCGCTTCACTGTTACTGAGGCTGGCTTTGAACTTGCGATCCTCCTGTCTCAGCCTCCTGGGCCACTGGGGCTTCTTCTACCTTTTAGTGATTTAATAATGATGCTATGGGCGAGGGTGTACAGATACTCCTTTAAGTCTCTCTTTTGATTTTTTTGGGTATACACTCAGAAGCAGAATTGAGGGATGATACTATGGCAATTTTCTGTTTAATTTTTTTTTCTTTTTGGTACTGGAGATTGAACCCAGGGGTGCTTGACCAATGAGCCACATCCCCAGCTCTTTTTATATTTTATTTAGAGACAGGTCTCCCTAAGTTACTTAGGGCCTTGCTGAGGTTGGCTTTGAACTCAGTCCTCCTGCCTTGGCCTCCCAAGCAGCTGGGATTACAGAGCGCGACACTGCGCATGGCTGTTAATTTTTTTTTTTTTGAGGAACTGCATACTGGTTTTCCCAGCACTGTACCATTTTAGATCCCCAACACCAGTGTGCAAGGGTCTAATTTCTCCAGGTCCTCATCTACCCTTGCTATTGTCTGTTGGTATATATTTGGATAATGTCCTGTCCTAATGGCTGTAAGGTGGTGTCTCCTGGCTTCCACTTGCATTTCCCTAGTGATAGGTGCTTTGAGCATCTTGTCTTGTACTCCTGGCTGCTTGTGTGTCTGTGGAGGGTGTCTGGTCAAGGCACTCCCGGTCTTACTGTTCCCGTGCTGCTCTTTGACTTGCCGTCTCTGCAGCTCTGCTCGCAGTTCTGGGCTGATGGAGGCCTCGCCCAGGAGCTGAGCCCTGGAGGACAGTGAGCACAGCTCACACTTTGGTGGCAGTTGCCACACACAGGCCTCGTGTTGGGTGGGAGTCACTGTTGGACCCTGGGTGACCGTGGGACGGCGAGGAACTTACTGAGGTCTCAGCTAGTTGCTGATGGGGCTGGGACTGGAGCCCGAGCAAGTTGGTTCTGGAGTCCCTGCAGCACCCGACAGAGGGGACAGGGCTGGGCGGGTGGGGCGCTGCCCGCAGCAGAGGGTTTTGGTTGGGTTGGTGTCCGTGGAGGAAGAACGGGGCTTGACCAGCAGTGGCCAGGGTCCCCCTGCAGTGGAGGAGACCTGGGGCCAGGGGGGCAGGTCTGGGAAGGCCAGCCGCAAGGTGGGGTGGGAGGGGCTGGTGGCGAGGGGCCTGGTCGCTTTGTTCCCTCCCACAGGTAATTATTAATTATAAAGGGAAACTCGGAACGTTGCAGGGGAAACTTGGCAGGCATTTCCTCGCCCAGTTAATCAGTCATCGCTGAGGACAAACTGCTGTTAGACGCTCCTGACAGGTGCACCGAGGTCACAAGAGCACTTCCGTGTCATTCCTGACCGCCTTTTGGTTTATTCCCGTCTTCATTTTTAACTGAGGTGCGACTGACAAGCAGAGAAGCTGTGTGCATTTAATGTGCTCATCTTGATGGTGGCCCCGCTCCCAGTTCAGCCCCTTGGCTGAACGTCACTCTGTTTCCTCTTGTGTTTGGTCTCCAGAGGGAGAAAATATGGAAGGGTGTGGCGGAGCCCAGTGGGAGCGACACATAAATGAACATCTAAAGTGACCAGGTGTGTGATTGCTTGGAAGGGAAGAAAAGGAGTGAGTGCACTGGTGGAAGCTGCTTGGGGTCAACATGGAGGCCTCTCTGAGAAGCTGGCATTTGAAGTGAGATCTGAGGTGATGGAGTGAGAGATTGCAGGCAGGGAGCAAGTGGTGCAAAGGCCCTGAGGCAGGAAAGAACTCGGCACCTTCGGGGCCAGCAGGGCGGGCTCCGTGGCTGGAGTGGGAAAGAGGCTGGCGATAAGGTGGGAGCGGTAAGCAAGTTCTCGGTCCTGGGGGGCCGGAGAGCTCCACTCCTTGACCACAGAAAGGTTTCAGCCCAGCAGTGACGAGGTCTGGCTTGTTGGGAAAACATTGCCATTATTTTCCCCATTTTACAACTAAGGAAATTGAGGCCTGGAACTATAGCTTGGATGTGCTTTTGAAGGTGGCCATCCTTCTGGGACCCAGACAAAGAGGCTGTGGATTCTTTAGGGGTTCCCTGGGGGATACATCTGATGAGTGGCCAAAGCCCAAGGTTGCAAATTCTTCTTCCTCCCCTGGACCCCCCAACCCAAGCCTGGGCTCAAATCCTGGTTCTGCTCTTTGCCTGCTGTGTGACCTTGAACAGGTGGCCTCAGTTCTCTGTGCCTCAGTTTTCTTATCTGCAAAACAGGCATAATGGTAGTACCTGCCTCAGAAGAGTGTGAGAATGAGTGTGAGTGGGTGTGAGAATGAGGTAAGTGAACACGTGTTGGAGTCTAGAACAGTGCCTGGAGCAGGGGCCACGGGGAGGAGGCTGGCTCTTCCCTGTGTCGTGGGAATCGTCTGTTGCTCTGTGTCCTACTACCAGTGCCTCAGGAGGTTCCTCTCCCTGTCACCTGCTGCTGCCTCAGTGTGGGACCAAGCAGGGAGCCTGTGCGCCATCATTGGGGGCAATGATCTTATACCCAGTCTCCTAAAAT